TCTCTCGCTCTCTGTGTGTGTGTGTGTGTGTGTGTGTGTGTGTTTGTACATGCACAAGTATGAACTAAGGCAATTTCATGTCTGTCTGTCTGTCTGTCTGTCTGCCTGTCTAAATAAGAGCTTTCACACATAATCACAGGGGTTCGTGGTTATATGATCCCTTTGTGTTACAGATGCTTCCACAGAATATATTGGTGCAATGTTGTTTATTAGAAATCATACATGACCACAATGTCTTGAGGAAATTTACATATACTTCTCTATCAGTGTCATATAATTTCTTGATAGCAGAGTCGCTTGGGGAACAGAAGTCTAATATGCATTGTAACTCCACAGCACACACAAACAATTTTTACAAGGAAATACCTTATTAAACTTGTAGTACTCAAAGTATCACATGGAGACATTAGACTTTCTAATCAGTGGTCATCGATACTTTCACATTGGAATTTATTGTTTAAAACTTACTAAAAATCAGAACAATTTTCTGAGAGTTTATTTTATCTTCCACCATTTCCAAGTACTAATCATTTTCTCATAACTCTCAATCCTCTTATTACAAAGAAATGTGTGGCATTTGTTTCTTAACATTGTATGAAGTGGTCATGTGAAAAACAAAAGCAACGTACTATGGATTAAAGATGTCTCTGCCTTCAAGTCTTGTATTGAATATGTTGTTCCCTTTTTTTCCAGAGGTGTGGAGAAATCTCATTTGATAGCCCAGAGCAGAATGCCAAATGTGTTCGCATGCTAGGTAAGTGGCATCCATTCTCAAATAAACTGGGTTTTGTTATAGGGTGAAACACGATTAAATGAGCCAGTGTTACTTATTTAAGAATATCTGCAATTTTAATGAGGTTGGTTGGGAGCCATAATTCTTCAGGATGTATAATTGCTTGTAGTATAACTGAAACTGACACAAATAATGAATATACATGAGTATTATTGATTATATCAAATCTTCATCTTACTTCCAAACTTGACATAGTGATTTCTGACTGTTGGTTATAAAACCTGAATGAATGTTGTAAGTTGAGCATTACTAGTATGTCACAGGGCCAGGTTTATTTTGGGCTTGGCTCTCCCTGAGGATATCTACCTATCCCACTAGACTGGATAGTATGGGCTCACTCCAAGTCCTTCTTTTCATGTTGTCATCTGGTGGGACCAGGGGTGGGTTCCTGCCAGTTCTAACCTCTTCTATAGAAGAGGTTCCATAAATCTACCATGCTGTTTAGAATAGGCTCCTGCTCCCTCCCCCCCGCGTGTCTGCACCATGCTTGCCCCGCCCACCGCTCACTGATTGGCTGGCTCACCAATCACACTGCCCGTGTCTAAGAGTCCTCTCTAAACCTTAAAATCTTAAAGCTGTCAAGTTTGAACATCCTTGGGTTTTTTTTCTAAAGGTGTAGGGGTGCAAGGATCTTGTAACTTGACAGCTTNTTTTTTCACAAGGAGTTTCCAGTCACCAATAAATATAGATATTGTCTTTTCTCTTATCAAACAAGTCAATACCTCCAATAGAGGAATGGTTGGTGAAAATGACAGAACTTGCTGAAATGTCATTTTCACTAGCCATTCTTCTATTGCAGGTATTGTCAAATCTTTCCAACTTCAGGTGTACAATAATATTGCTGGAATTATTGTGTAGAAAAAGAGCATTTCATGACATTTTTCTTTTTATTCATCAGTCCAGGAAAAAAACTTCTGGTTTCAATCAAATCTTAATCTTTAAAGTCCTCCAAATCACTATATGTATTTGAGCCCAACATTTTATAGTGTGAAGTACATTTATACATTGTAGATAACTTTTATGGTGTGGGGTATATAATATTTTAGCTTCATTTCAGTCCCGAGTATCTATTTTTAACATAGGTCTTCTATGTTAGGGCATTTTCTGCTTCTTAATTTTTTTTTAGAAGTACGAATGAAGAGGCTTATTAAATTCTGTGAAATAAGGAAAGGAAAAAATGATTTTCTTAACCAAACAGTGTTGTACTTTGTAGCCAATTTCCTCCTGTGGTAAACCAGAATAAAATATATTGCATTCTTAAAAAATACTGAATGATATCATCAGTGTAGAACTATGACTCCTAAAACTTGCTGAGGGACCCATCCCCCCTGAAACTCCAAGGGAAGTTTATTGGCTTGAAAAAAGTTCAGTATCATCATCCTACAACTTCCAATATTTTTGGAAACTAAACGTTGTTGCCACTTAATTCAACTGCTTTTTGTTTACATAAAATGATTCTTCCAGGGTGACTATCTCGATTTTGGACTTTCAAATCAAACTATAATCTAATAGGGAAAATGGTGAAACAAGTATGCAAGAGAAATGACTGTAACACTTTTTGTATCTTTTCATTAGGCAGAATTGATGGGACAGATTTTTTTTTACCAATTTAACAGGTTGCATTTTTTCTCTTTTATATGAATCTCTCTCTCTCTCTCGCTCTCTGTGTGTGTGTGTGTGTGTGTGTGTGTGTG